ACGACGGAGAGCTAGAGCATACAAACACACACACTTAAATTTACAGATACAGTACATACGTTACACAAAAAAATTTATACAAGTGTGAAGGAAACACCGCTTACAGTCATAGTTGGCACGATAGTGCAGCTTGACTGGTCCAGAGCAGTGCTGCAGCATCCAGTGGGCTTCTTCCTGAGTGCTGGTATCCAATGAAATGCTTTGGTTCTCCCCACGTACGCATCCTTCAAGCTGGTCAGCCAATCACAGTGCAAGACAGATGAACAGATTTAAGTGTTCATGTTTTTGTAGTGTCATGTCTAATTTTGGTACTTCTGCAAATTAGTCCCTTGATTATAGATAACGGGTATTGGACAAGGGATCAAGAGAAACGAATGTCATCTGTTAATATGAAACGTCTGCATTTTGGGTCGAATCTCTCATGTTCTCTGTGTTTGACAAACTGTGACACTGCATTTGTTACACTTTCTTCTGGAAATGTCTATGTACGTTCTAGGCGCTTACTGGTTCTTTTCTATTTGTATATCCAGTGGTTTTAATTGGACAAAAATGTACCTCGCTGAACATTCCCTCATTTTACAGCCCATGTTTAACTCATGCAGCCTGTAAACTACATACCAACAGGAGGTGGTGGCCCTCTCGTAGCCCCGCCTTCTCAGCGTTGGAGCCCGACTGTACGGATGAGATGAAAATCCCGCTGTCGTTGCCACCAATCAGAGTGATCTCCTTCAGTAGGTTGTCACCTAGCAATGACAGCTCCTGCACCGGCTTCAGGGAAGAGCTGATCCTAGAGAAGGAGGACAGAGACGGACGGAACGGCCTGCACACAGACAAACACACATACACAACATTTTTGACGTTGGAAGGTGTTTTTTAAGTGAGCGTAACTCTTGTGTATTTGAGTGCATGAGTGTCTGTAGTGTACCTCTCCAGAGAGAGCTTCCTGAAGATATTGTTGACCTGCTCCAGGTCGTAGGTGTCCATTCCTTCGGACTGATGGGACGAGGAGGATGAGTGGACTGAAGGTGGACCACAATTTACTTCGTCCTCTAAGGAAGGGACAGACAGGCAGAGAGATTCATTTAAAAAATGGTAGACAGAAGATAAATACAGTCAAACACGTCATTAGTACGATTTTGGACAATGTGTTAAAGTATACTTTACCAAACTCCATGTTGTCACTATCAAAGTCCAAGGGGCTAAAAGAGACCCAACATCAGACTATTTTGAAACCATTCATAACAGGAAATGAAATTCAAACCAGGTCAAATTCACAAAAAGGAGAAAGAAATCACTAAATTGATCACATTTATTAAATAGTATAGACTATGGGGCTGTGACTACCTGCGGGGTACGAAGTCATGTTCCTTCTCCCTCTCTCTGCGGTAAAGTGATGCTTTCTCTGGCGGCTCGGGGAGCGTAGACAGGATGCTGTCATTACGGTAACGCAGCTGGATTTTTCAAGTGAACAAAGCATACGTTCCAATTACAGACACGGAAACTCAAGTATGTCTCAAGTGAACAATGTGTTCATAATTTTTACCAAATACAGAACAAAACAACACAAAACTAAGAGATAAAAATACTAATATTTTAAGAAGGTAGACCTCACCATATTTGGTCTGCTGGACTGTTCCCCTAAGGGGAGGGGGGAGGGGGATGGGGAGAAGGGGTACGAGAGTTGGGGGGCTGAGTAGAGTGGATGTGTGGGGGATATCGGGATGCTGGGGGAGGCAGGGAGGGAGTGGCTGTTGACATGCGAGTTTGGCATTTGGATTTCCAGACAATCTCCTCCGTTGACTGACAGAGCTGAAAGTTGGAGACAAATGTGGATTAACTTTTACTGTTGTCGTGGAAATTGTATTCCTGGTGAGAGGTTGAGCAAATAATTGAGTTACAACGAACCGTTGTCTTTGAAGAATTTATTTAACAAAAGAGAATAAACAGAGAAGTACTACAACAAAATCAGCTGGACCAGAGGTTCTGTCTCCTAAGACTGTCACTAACGTCTGGCCGGGAGCAAACAATTGCATCATCATTTACACAGTCTGACTGATCACAGTCAAGGAAGGAGAAGAACAGCTAGTGAGGAAAACAATCAACAACCCCACATCCCTGACCTAAACCCCACACATGTGGACAGACTGGAATAACAAGAACAATATTAAAGATGGAACAGGTTAAATATTTAAAACAATATATAAGACATAATAAAAGGAGAAAAATAGAGCTCTTATAAGTACTTGCATAAAAGATGATAAGTGTAAGAAGAAAACACTTTTCTGCCCTTACATCTGTTACTGTGAAATATGCTATCTGAATGAACTACTTGGCCATGTGTTACCTGCAGGTTGAGTTGCTTCTGAGTTGACTTGAAGGTCTTTGGCTACACAGACAGGAGACTTAACTCTGATCTAAAATACAAAACATAAAAGTCTTTTAGTTACGGTTATTTTGTACTTGTATTGATAACATATACTTCCTTCCTATATGGCTAATGTTTATAACATTACATTGCATTTACTCATTTGTCAGACGCTTTTATCCAAAGCGACTTGAGGAACAACATACAAGCAACAACATACAAGCTACAACAAAGCATCATTACAGCACGAGATCTACAACTGATAATAAGTACTAGTAAGAGCTTATAGCAACTATGGCATCAATGGGGAAAATATCTAGGGAAAGAAGTAAGAGTTAACAATACAAGTCAATACAAGAGAATTGTACAGGGATAGAAGAAGAAGAAGAAGAAGAATGGCACAGGAAATGCACGTTAGAGGTAAGATGTTAGAGGTGTTATAAGAGAAAGTTTTCAAGAGCTTCTTGAAGTTACAGAGGGACGCCCCTGCTCTGATGGCATGTGGTAGAGCGTTCCACCATCGTGGTGTCACAGATGACAACAGCCTGAGACTGCTTTGTGTGAAGGGATGGCAGAGCCAAGCGGTGTTCGTTGGAGGAGCGCAGTGGTTGAGAAGGAACGTAAACTTGTATTATGGAGTTTAGGTAGATGGGTGCAGACCCAGTAGTCACTCGGTATGCAAGCATTAGTGACTTAAATGTGATTTAAGACGTGAGGCCACGGGTAGTCAGAGGAGGTCATTCAGTAATGGAGTGACATGCGAGCCCTTTTGGGCTGATCAAAAACAAGATGCGCTGCTGCATTTTGAACCAGTTGCAGGGGTTTCACCGCACAAGCTGAAAGACCCACCAGGAGGGCACTGCAATAATCGAGGCACATGTTTGTGTTTTATCGAACTGCTTAATGTGAAATTTTGGACTTAAGTGAAAGATTAAAGTAAAAACTTTCACTTTTACTTCTACTTGTATCTTAAGAATGGAAGCTACACATTAACGTGTAGCAGTATCATTCAGAATAGAGTTCATTTAGTCTTTTATTTGTGTTTGATTTGATCATTTAATAGGCCACTTTTTCTTTTTCATTTGTCATTGGTGCAAACACAGATACACGTGGCACTTTCCATGCATGTATACTGTCTGCATGTGTGACGAAATTCATGATATCAGCAGAATTTCTTTCCTGCTCCAGTTAAGTTTTCCTTTTAGTGCCATATTATTTCAGCCCTATATACATGATAAATATATTGAAATTGTAAATAAATTCTACTGGAGATATTAAGGACAAATGAAGTTAACTTTTGAAAATGTGAAAATAAACCGAAATAAAGCCGAAAAACATCACTGAGTAAAATGTAAGGATTTTTCTAAATTAAAATATTCAAAATAGGGCAAACGTAGGGATAATCCTTGTCTTTGATTGGCTGTTGCTGCTCCTATGTGTGATTATTAATATGATCACTTGAGAGTTGCTCTTAAAGGTCCTAAACTTCTTGAGAGTAAGAGACTTTGTAAGTAGGAGTAAATAGGTTAATAAAGTTAGGTCTTTATGTGGGACTATTCTTAGAAGTTTGATAAATACGGGACCTGGCCTTAACTATAATGTCCATTAAGTAACTAAGTAAGAAAGTGTAAGTAGTGGACAGTGGCTGACCCCTGCTTTGAGATTAGGTCTGCGTTTGAGGCGAGGCTCCTCAGATAAAAACTTATCCTCTGGCGACTCATCGCTTGACCATTCTGATTTGATCTCCGCCCCCTGAGAGATAATGGTCGGAGGCAGGTCCCTCGGCAGACTCTGTAATAACAGAAAAAAAATACTGGCAAATTTTCGAAAGTAGACAATGGGAATTGTGCTAGCTGAGATGCAAGTTCCAGAGATGCAATATGAGCATTTATCATCCACATTAACCTTGTACACCAATCTACTCTGCTGTGTCTAACCTGGTCCAACACAACGTCCTTGGACACCCGTCTTAGGCGAGACTCCAATGTGACTAGCTTGGCTTCTTTGCGTACAATCTCAATTTGCAGTTCATCACTCCTCTCCTCCAGCTCTCTGATCTGCTTGCGATATTTGTCTTTGTCAATGAGACTCTGGGAGAATTGGTGCTGGGCCTCGTCTCTGGCTCGAAACGCCTGTGGCAGTGGGAGAGTGGAAGTTAGCAACACAACAATAAAAACATCTTATTCATAAATACACATAAACATGGACAATATTGCAAATGTTCATAACACACAGTGGCAACAATCTGTGTGTGTGTGTGTGTGTGTGTGTGTGTGTGTGTGTGTGTGTGTGTGTGTGTGTGTGTGTGTGTGTGTGTGCGTGCGTGCACACTCTCACCTGATCCCTCTCCTTCTCCACCTCATCTAGCTGTATGGTGATGGTGTCCATTCGGTTGCGATACATCTCACAGTCCTTCTGCAGTGTGGAGGACTTCAGCTCGAGATCCTCTTTCTCCTCCAGGTACTACACACGCACACACACACACACACACACACACACACAAGTAGTGTTATTTATAGTTAATTATAGTATATGGCAAATACAGGAAGAGAAACACAGAGAGAGAAAGTTGAAAGACCAGGTTACATAGAAAGAGAGGCCTGAGATGGGGTTTTTGCACAGGGTGTGTTTCACAGATGGTCTCATGGGGTATTTGGCCTTTCTGGTCATGGGTTTGTGTTTCTAAGTTGTGTTTTTGCCAAACTTTGCGTGCACCCACCCCTACTCTGCATCACATTCTTAGTCCAAACAATCATACATTCTAACAAAGATTCAAACAAGCCACAATCTCATCACAAGACCACTTATCTAACTTCCACATATCAAATGTGAATATGTACTTGCTTGTGTGTTTATTACCTTATCTCGTAGTTCCTCTGCTTGTCTGACTTCTTCACGGAGGTTGTAGAGACGGTTGACCAGATCCTGTCTATCTTCCAGTGCTTCCTGTCTGTCATGTTCCAAAATGTCAAGGATGGCCTTGTCTGATGCAGGTAGGGGTCCAGGCTGTGCATTAAGAAACACACACATTGTTGGGTATGATCAGTATATTGGAGCATTTTGCTTCTAAAGATATTTTTCTCAGGAACTGGTGGAGACCAAAGAGCTAAAAGGAGAGTGTATATAGGACTTACATTCATTGGCTATCCAGAAAAATAACTCCAAATGAATGTTAATGTATGCTTTGTATAATTACATCACAGGTTTAAGTTGTGACAGGGATGTAACATATTTCCAGGAAGTTACGTAACTGTATGTTATTATGTACACATAAAGAATACAGATAGCTAATAGTAGTTGATTAAAATCAGCCTAAGCTTCTGTCTCTACAAAGAAGGTTTGCTTTCCTGACTGAAAAAACTTCTAGTAGGCCAAGGGCTACATTGCGTATTAATCGTGTGTGTGCATGAATGTGTGTTTAAGAATACAGTACCTGTATGATGGACTGCAGATCCTGTAGTTTGATCTTGAGCATTTCGTTTTCTCTTTCCAGCTCAAATATCTGCTCTCTCTTTGGCCGGTTCTCAATGTCATTCTTCAGCTTGAGACTCTGCCGCCTCTCCATCTTACACTCCTCCTCCACCTTGTTCAGCCGGTGCTTCAGCTGATCAATCTATACATAGAGGACACAGAATGAATAGTGAGATACTAGCATGGAGCTGAGGGGGAGATCCCTGATTTATTCCCTCAAATACCCATATTGCTCATTTCTTATTGGATATTTTTGCAATTGGTAATGACTATATAAATCTATGTGTTTTCATGCATTCACATATCCTTGATTACCTCTAGTTGCAAGTCCCGGCTCCTCATCACAGCCATGTTTTTCTCCTCACTCAGCGCCGCGTACCTCATGGCCAGTTTGTAGTTTTCATCCTTCACTCTCAGCAGCTCATCGCTGTAGGTGTTTCTCTCTTCTCTTAACTTATTGTACCCTGGAGAATCAAGCGTAGTCATTTAAACAGTAGCACATGCATGTCTTGTCCAGGATAATAGTCCTAGAAGGTAACCAGTTGCTTTAGCCATTATTACAGAATGTATAAATAAAAAAGTAATGTTATGTCAAAAGGTAAATCCAAAAAAGTTTTTAATATGGAGCACCAAGATTTCAATATTAATAAAATAAAGACAATAAATCCAATTGTTATGAAATGATTATTAATCGTCATAACAACATAGTTGTATAAGATATCATTTTTATTTAATAATAATAATAATAATAATAATTTAATAATATAATTCACTTTTTATGACCGTGGTATTGTAATCGCTCACCTTTCAACCAACCTCGTGTCCACTGCCTCTTGTAAGCTAGCTAGTTCAACAACTGCTACCTGATTTAGTCTGTTAGCTCCTGTTAGCTAGAGCAACAAGAATGAGAGTATTTCTGAATGAACTAACTAGCACAGAGACACAGTAAATAAACCTAATTATCTTTTTTAAGCTCCTCATGCTCCCTTCTGAGCTGGCTCACCAGTGTTAGCAGTGTTAGTTAGCACCTGTTGGCTTGAGTGAGCAACAGCCTTTATTTATTTATTATTGTCACGAATAGCTGAGCTATATGAATACAGAGATGTAGAACAGGGAAACAAGCCAGGTCATAACATTGCAGTTAGAGAAGTTGAGTAAGATGTCACCCTGACCTAGGGCACTAAAAAATAAGGAAGGGTCATTACGTTATTTTATAGCTCAATTGCGTGAACACACACTGGAGCTACACTTGAAGGTTCTCGGTGCAGTTAACATAGGGGTGAACAGGCAGACCACTTCTTGATATGTCCGCTCTTAGTTTCCTTCACAGTTGCATTGCCAACCACATCTTCCTCATTTGATTTGACCTGTCCTGAACAGTACTCTCAAAATGTTTTTAGCATTTGTTTATAAGTGAACGTGCCTGTACACCAGCTGCCGGTTTCAACTACACAGGATATGATAACAAAGTGCCTACCACAGCGTCCTAGTTTTATTAATAGGCTTTGGTAGACAATGTGACTGGCAACTTAGCCTTAATAAACTCAACTGCGGTGCACCATGTGCGGTTTGTGATGGGGTAGCACTTTCAGTAAATGCGGATAAGTTTTTGACTTGGATTTGATGATCAACCATTTCAGATACTGAGCATCTTTTATCAATGACCATCCGAAGTCTCCTCTTGTGTAAAGAATGCAGTGGAGAAACGCAGATGGAGGGACGCTTACGGGTTATGATCAGAAAATATCCAAAATAATAATAATGTATTTTTACTCTGTTGGAAGGCCTGAAGCTCCTGATTGGCCAGCCGTAGCTTCTTCTGCTCGTCCTCCAGGGTGCAGTTCTTCCTGCTGAGCTCAACGTGCTGCAGGGTCTTGACTTTAGACTGCTGCTGCAGCTTCATGACTTCGTTCATCAGGAACTGGGTCAGACCCTCGTGACCCTCCTCCACTGCAGTGAAGAACCGGCAGCAGGTGGAGAGGAGAGGCGGAGAAAAATAACACATTACAGTATAATATATTCTCCATATAATGCACCATCTACTCTACCTAGTGTGACAGGATTGCATTGTAAGATGATTTAGATAAATTATCACCTCAACCAGCACAACAGGATCTATGAAAATTGTTGTAGGGTTAGACTGTGTTACTGTACAGCTGGCAATTAAATGGGTTTCTTTTAATGTAATCCTTTCATACCTGTTTTTTTTACGATAAAAAGTTTTTTAAGCAATTCAAGCAGATTCCAGTCCTGGGTTGCTCCAGTTCAGAAACACAATAATTATCCATTACTAAAACCCATATCAAACTCTCTATGTATGTCAAAGTTGTGTGTCCATGCATGTATGTGCGTGTGTCTGCATCCATAGGTGTGTGTCTCACCTACGATGGTGGAGAAGCGTCGAGTGGGATCCTTCCCTGTGACCAGCTTGTACAGGTCAGGGTAGTAAAACTCAAGACTCTCCAGAAACGCGACATACCCCCGCTCTCCTTTAGTGTGGAGGATGTCAAGTAGGCGGCCTGACAGAGGATTGATTAACATACTTCAAGTTCAAAACACAAAAGCCCAAAACCACATACTTTCACTGCAGCGTATTAAGTCTGGTTTAAAGCCTGGGGTGAGAAAACTATTGTGAGAGATAAAATGACGGATACATCAATACTTCCTCTACAAACACAGACACGCACACACACATCTGTCCACCTACTTGTGCGATTTGCTTTGGAGACCAGCAGCATAGAGTTAAGAATCTCATCCTCGTCCTGTTCATCCAGGACTTTGCACTGGCGAAGGTAAGGAGTGAGCTTTGCCGGGGAGATGGTCCGACACAGTTCATAACGCTTACACTCCACCTTCTCCCACAGCGCCTCCACATCATCAGATGCACCGTTTTCCATCTCTTACACCCTGAAATGTGGTAAAACCAACAGGGGTTATTGGCTGTGCAGTGTGCTTATTTATACTGTATGTCATTTTGCATCATCGCTGCTGAATCAAAAAGATGCTCACTGCAAGGGAGATTAGCACTACAATGTATGTGTGTCTGTCTGTGACTATGACAATGCCCTTACTCAAATAACAGATACCAGGGTCAGTAGTGCTAAGAAGTACTCAGCTGCAGTGGCAGACTAAGGTGGTCTGAGGGGCAGGGGCGACAAAAAACTACAAAAAGGGCACCAGCTTCACGTGGCAGGGCAACAGTGTTCATAAACTGAATGACGCGGGTTAATGAGTATTCGTTGGAAATTCACACCTTCTGAGTATCAACAAAAGCTGCTTCACTGCTAAACTAAGCACAGCTAAATTTCTTGGGCGATACGATATTGGGCCCTGAGCACATGCCCAGTAGGCTCTGTGATAATCTGTCCCTGCAGAGGGCCATTCATCATATTTTTTGCACCTTAGAGGGCACTTTACAACATTTATTCACAAAAGTGGCACCCCGGAGGGCACTGCAGAGGATGGGGTAAGTGTAGTCTACATGTAGTCATGGAGAAGGAGAGATCCGACACATGTGTGCAACCTCTGATATATATGTAAATTCTAAGTTGCTTTGGATAAAAGGGTCAGCTAAAATTAATAAATGTCAATTTAACAGATCATGATTTTCACACTATTAGATGCTTTTATCATTGTGTTTTGTCCTAATCACAGCTAACTTCATGGACACTTTGTTTTGGTTTTACTGTTTGTTGACACTGAATGTATTGTACTGGAGGTCATGCCCACCCACAACTCCCCTGTCCCGAATTTCACCTATTTTCGTCTGGTCACCCTAAACATGGTAAACCATTGGTGTATCTTGTCCTCATAGGAAGAGGCTGAGGGCATTCACAGATGTCGAGTTACTGCTCTTGGATAGGTTAGTATTTTTGGGGATACAAGCAGCAAAGCTGCTGGAACCCTATTGTTTTTGTAGTGTTTATTCTTTCTTTCTTTCTTTCTTTCTTTCTTTTTTTTTTTTCGCTAAAAGTGTTTAGGCAGCAAAAACTCACCAAAATTGGCACGTAGGTTGCAAATTCCACCCACTACTCAGGCAAAAAAAAAAAAAATTGCCCTCATAGACCTCATGGTGGCGCTATAAAAATCTACTTTGTGTTTTTGCAATTATCTCGAAGACAGCTTTGTTTAGAGTCAAACGTCTGTCATTATTTTAATCTCTGGATTCATCTGCATCTTTGCTTTAATGGTCTTCTTCTCTAAAAATGTGAAATTATATGACTTTTTAACACTTTTCTCTACAACCTATTTTTGTCCCAGATGGTTTCGCCAATTGACCTGAAACTTTGGCAGGATCATCTACAGACGTCGCTGATCAAAAGTTATCAAAAGAATTTTGATATGTCAATCTGTTTTTTTTTTCCAAAAATTTGTACTTTTGTGTATTTATGTATAATTTTACATAAATTCCCGTAAATCAAAACTGGCTTAAGCGATTGTCACCAAACTTGACGCGTCTGCTCAGATGCTTGGCCCGAGCTTTGCTGAGCAGTCCTGGGATATTGTTCCTCTACACTTGCAAAAAGTTTATACCTCGTAATTCGCTGGATGGATTTGTACGAAATTCAGTTTGTACGATCTCGGGTCCCTACTCAGTTGATGTATAAAATTTGGTAATGATTGCGCAAAGTGGGTGTGGCTTATTACAAGAAATGTAAATTTCTAGACATTTCTCGTTCCAAACTTCAAAAAATCTAAGAAAATGATCCATATGTCCTAGAGAGCTGAAATTTTTGTGACGTCAGTGTTTGCCTCACTGCAACCTATGGCCAATTCAGAAGTCAGTCACTCTATATTTTTCAGAATATGCTAATTCAATTAACATCTATGTCTCCACAAGTCTTTCTTCAAACGCTACCAAACTCGACAGAGATCGACAGAACACTGATATCAAGTGTTTTTATGGGTTTTCAGACCGGTCAAACGGTGAGTCTGCAGTGATATTCAGTATCTTGCTGTAACTTGGACAGTATGCACAACATTTTCTTTTTGGATCAAATACCAAAATAATAACAACAACACACCCAAAACCAGCAGAATGATGTGTGATTTTATTCAGAATTTTCTCACCACCATCTTTACATTTGTAAGCGTTTTAAGTTTTAACTGAAAAAACTATCCAGGGCTGGCACGTGACGTCACTGCCTCCACTTGTGAGAAGGTGTGGAGAAATCGCCTCTCACCAGTAGCTCAGTCAGTAAGTCACCTACTCTGGAGATCTAAAGGTCCAGGGTCCAAATCCCAAGGTGGCTGAGGCGGACTTGCTGATAATGGTGGTGTTCAGATCATAGTAGTTCTCTATTTAATTTGGATCCTGTGACACTTAAATCTTATTTTTCTCTGCCTGAAAGTGTTTGTGCAACTTAAACTTTAAATCTTGGAAAAACAAAATGCCGCTGGTGGGTTGAACATTTCACCCAAAGTTGGCGTTTCCGCAATTATCTCAAAGTCCAAATTCTTTAATCTCTTAAATCGTCTGCGTCCGTTCTTCTCCTCTGAAAATGTCAAATGTTGCGTTCTTCGCGACTTTCTTGGATCCCGATCATTGCCGCTCGCGGCTATATTTAAAATATGGAGTAGGTTATGCAGTTTGTAGTGATTGTTCAAATTTTACTCAGCCACTTTAGTAGGGAAGCTTAAAGCTGTACTTCAACAATTAAGAAGTAAGTAAAGTCAGTGAACTGTAGCAAAAACAAGATGTAAAACAACAATCCAACGGTTCTGCTACTGACTAAGGATGATTTCAGCAATGTAGAAATGGCTATTATTCGCTACGGTCAACAGGATAGATTCCAAAACGAAACTGTTGTCTTTACAGAAAGGATGTCTGCAATGCAGCGGGGACATACAGTTTGAAGTAGGAGGAGGCATTAATGCCTGAGGCAATAAAACATCCTATCATTTTGTTGAAGAATCAACCCATATCTAACCTTCTGCAGCACATTCACAAGCAAGTTGGGCGTCCTGGATGTAATCACGTGCTATCTGCTATTCCAATAAACCTATTGGATCACTAGTGCAAAGTCAGCCTGCAAAAAGGTTATTACTGACTGTGTGATGTGCTGCCATCTTTCAGGAAAGGTTGGACAACAAAAAATGGCTGGCCTACCAGTGGAAAGAATTCTGCCAGACATGCCACCATTTATGAATATGTGAATGGATTACTAGGGTCCATTTAAAGATAATAGAGGTCAAAATCTGTTCAAAAGACATGGCGTGGTTTTTACATGCATGGCTAGTTGAGCAATACATCTTTAGGTAACCTATTCACTGGGTACTGACCTGACTCATGCAGAAATGCCATCTGATGTTTTATGTGTCGATGTGGTCAAGTTTCCTCTTTGAGGAAAATTATTTCTACATTTATAAACGAAGATTGAAACAATTTCATTCATCTATTTTCTGGAAAAGGTGAGTCCCGACATATCTGCCACTGCTCCGGGAAAGACAAAACTGATGAAACCACGCAGGAACTAATGTGTTAACATTGTTACTGTCATTGTTGTTATCATGGACCCCTCTGCTCAGCATAGTTCCTGGTTGATGGTAAAGTGACAAAGACCTTTTTCAGATAGGAAAGGTACAGTCCGCTTACAACTGAGGACCAAAACATGCTTCCTTGAAAGAACTGTCACCAAGCTTTGCATGTTAATGGAAGCACGCAACTAAGGACTGATGGTAAAGATCAAATCACAACAATGGCAATGTCCTTGTAACCTCTGGTCAATGAAGAAGGAAGATGAATGCACAAACATGCTTATATTTTGGCTCCTTTGGATTATTTTATTTGGTAATTGTAATTGCACACCACCACAAGTATGGGGCTAGGGTGTAGGAGCTGTTTATATGAATGTCTGATTTGACCACTAGGGGAGGTATTGTTTTTCTTTGTGTGTAATAATTATAGCTGAGCACCAGGTGTATTAAACGCACAGTATGTCATTTTCTGCCGCTAGGGGTCTCTCACATTAAAAAAACCCAAAACACATAGTTTAATGACGTTGTGGAGTAACATCATGTTTGCTCATGTTAACTAAAGATCCAGGTGTCCGATGACTTAAATCTGGTTGAAAGATATGGTAACAAACGACCAAGATCTTAAAAGTGGATCATAGAAATGTGGCTTAAAACTGGATAAATTGTACTTTATTACATTTGCCCTACCTAAATAATGGATTATTTCCTTTGAACTGTGAAATTTCTCTTTTTGAATATGAGGCTGGAGCGAGCTTACCTGGTGGCATACATCAAAAGCACGTGTCGACAGTGTTTGTGTGATTAATCTCACTGCCAGATGGGGATACAAATGTTCCGCACTGCAGGTTTAAGAATAAATATCACAGTCGAAAGACACAAGTAAAATTCCTGAATTTAAAATTTTAAGTATTATCAGCTAAATGTTATCAAAAGTAAATAAAAAACATGTAAAAGCAGTTTAATGTTGTGTATACCACTGAGTAGATTAGATGTATAGCACAGTATTATACTGTATAAGCATATCAATTATCATCACATAATTGTAATGGAGTAAAAAGCACCAAATCTCCCTCTGAAATGTAGAGGAGTAGAAGGAAAGTACAGATCTTGAGTAAACGTAGTTATATTCCAACGCTGCATGTGGTCGGTTGTCTGCAAGATTAAGGGAGATGTACCAAATCACAAAATGGCCCATGAAACACAATATTGTTTATCTATATAATATATTTCCTGCCTCAAAGGAAAGCAGGCTCAGGTAATCACATAATTTCTATAAGTTTGCTTCATGCCAAAGTAAATATTTGTAAGAATATTATGAGTTTGATGTAGATCATGTTGGGCATGTGACTGTTAGGAGCATGGATCAAAAGAAAGGATGTTGGTCTGTCCACTTTGGTCCACAATGAAATATCTCAACAACTATTAGATGGATTGCCATGGAATTTGGTACACACATTTACGTCTCTCTTGGGATGAAGTGTAATAACTCTGGTGGTCCTAACTTTTAATCTAGAGCCAAGACCAGTCCACAACTGCAACCATATTTAGTCATCCTTTTTAGCAGTAAAAGTAATATCAATGTTTTTTTAATGTATTGTTAATTGTTCTTTATTATTAAGTGAGGCAGACTGCCAGAGTGCTAGTCTTACGCAATAGGGAAAGAGAAGTAAACAAACGTGCTCTTGCCTTTCATGTCATTGGCAGAAACCCTGTTAGTTGTATTGAAGAGTAATCTAAGGTGCATGTGTGTGCGTGTTTGTAAGTAATACATTTTTTGCCAATAATGGTGACACTGTTTCTAAATGAACTCAGACCTAGTCTGACATTTCTGCACTGCAACAGCTACCGACTTAGACACCAATAACGATATATCTGCAACAAGGTAACATCGGCCAATCTAGCTCTAATGATGGGGAACATGGTAAATATTATACCTGCTAAACATCAGCAGGTTAGCATTGCCATTGTGAGCACATTGCTATGCTAGCATTAGCATTTAGCTAAAAAGCACCACTGTACGTAAGCAGCCTCACAGAGCTGCTAGCATGTAGAGTCTTTTGTTTCTTTCTTTTTTTTTGACAATTAGGTTCCCAGTTTTATTCACAACTTGCATGCCACATGTACAGATCTGCAACAGAACCATGTGAGGCTTCCTGATGTATAACAGGACAGTCGCAGAGTGAGACTTTGCTCATTCGGGTCCCACACATTCTCTACTTCATCTGTTTCCCTCATAAACACATAAACTTTAACCAACTGACGTCTTTCCATTTGCCTCTCCTTTTTTTTACTCTTCTAAAGACATATTTCTACTCTCTTTATCTTCCTCTTACTCCCACTTGATTTCCACTCTCTATCATTTCACTCTCTCTCACACACATACACACACACAGTCCATGCATCTCTGGGATTTGCATACTAGCTGGACAGTGGGTGTTATCCTACAATCCTGCTTTGTGACTTGCAGACTACAGTTAGGCAAATCAATGCTGTCTGATGTCATTGCCCCTGTAAACACATACAATCACACACACTTTTGCATACAACTGTCATCTGCTAAGTGCATGTGACGATTCGAGCTTGTGCCTTCATGCTGCAGATAAATACAGACATACGCTACGTTAAAATGTAGGCAAACGTCACTTTCACTAAATAACGCTGACCTTTTGTGAATATTCAGCTCCTTTTAGTGACTTTTCAGATATTTAGCCACTCAGACAGTCAGTGAACAAAATCAATGACTAGCTACTTTGCAGATGCAGTCTGAGGCAAAGACAAAAATATCACACTCTTTCAACACTTATTTGTGTCTACAGTGTGTATATACTGCCACAGTCACAGCATATGATGAAACCGCAAGTGCTCACACCAACACACACCCATGCCCTCATGCACATGCAGAAGTACACACTGCATGCAGACACACAATGAACACACACACACAGACCCCTTCAGTAACCACATAAATGTTTCCTCTTCTCTCTTCTCTTATTTTGGAGTTCATTACCGAGAAAGCTCATCCTTGCTTCCTCCTTTTCAAACCAGATGTGAGTAGTAGCTTTCTTCCTGTATTCTGTTTTAGACCTCCTCAGTCAGTCTCTTTTGTTTATAGTAATGTGGTCCGGGGGAGTTGATTGTTTTTTGGGTTTTTTTTAGAACAGGGAATATGTACGTATGTTGTCAACAACTACAGACTTAAAAGACGCAGACACGGTCATGCTATGTGCAAGTGTTAAGTCACACTGCAACCTCTTGTATTTCCATTTTGGAGAAGTCAAACCAAATGTTTTCAGTTCAGTGTTTATACTTAGCATGCAATATAAGGACATACAGTATAGTCTACAACCAACATCATTCAAAGTAGGCTTTCACTTCATATATCACATGAGAGCATAATGTGCAGTATGATGCCATGACGATACGTTACGTGACTTGCTGCACTTAACTGGTTACCTGTCAGTTTTATAATTGATTTTCAGATTTTACTGCTATCTCCCTGATGAACTCCCTGTGAACCTGATTGGTATTTGAGATCCCCCGGCAGGATCCTTCTGCTGGTTCCCAAATCTCAACATGTCACTAAAGGTGACAGGGCTATTGCGGTCCAGGCCCCTCAGCTGCGGAAAACCCAGCGTCCTCTTATAAATTTCTTCTTAAAACTCATCTTATGGCTTTTAATGGGTGCTACATGTTGTAATTATTTCAATTCTTTTATCTTGTTTTATATATATTTATATACACAAACACACATGTGCACATATTTATATATTTATATATATATATATATGTTTTGGATTTAATATTTTTTATTGTTTTTTAGATAAGATTTCTTTTATTCATGATAGGACAACTCGAGAGTGACAAAATGTGGGAGCAAATATGTGCGTATGAACGTTTAATGAATGAGAATTGCTGACTGTGGAGATTAACCCTTTAAAAACCAGAAGGAAAATAACTTGTGAAATAGTGCCACTGTGAGCCTTTCGAGATCTCTAGAGAGTATGTAAGTGTATTATGGTCATAACAGTGAGTATTTAAGGTCTTTATTCAATAAAGAAAAAAATAGACATTTTATAAAAAAAAAACATAGGTGTTTTTATATCTTCTGGCTTAGCGATTTAGCAGCATCACTTATTTAAGTTAAGAACTACATTGTTTTGCCACAAAAACATTTTGCAGTGTTCCAAAGTAAGACCAGTTTACACTAACTTGGATTTCTTACATTTTGGAAAAGAACACCATCAAATGCATGTCCAACAACCGTGTGATATGAGCTTGCCTAGAGCATCTGCATCCAATAACTGACTTTACTTAAAATGTTCACATGTTGTATTATTCTCCAACACCACAATCGCTGGATCTCATAATTTAGATTTTTTAGATTTTAATTATTTTGCTTCTTGTTTCATATTTTACTTTTCTGTTTACACAGTTTTAATACTTTCACTGCTACAATAACTTTCTCAAAACAAGTCAATACCTTTCGTATTGTTCAGTGTTTTTAGAGGACACTTTAAATGTAAAGGTTTGCTACTTTATGTTAGTGAGGAACAAGCATCCATTGTTGCTAGTGGTTTAGTGGAAATGGAATATTATAATAATATAATAATTGATATTTTTGCAACTGATCAATATATCTTTTGGATATATTTAAACCAAACAGACATTGAGTCTTTAGATGTAACACAGGTTTTTTGAGCGTGACAGCTCAGTACATCACTGTCAATTTAACACCAAATGATCTGTGTGGAATTACTGTGACACAAAAACAAATTTCCTCTTAGTTCTTTTTTGAATGTGTATGAACTTGTCCCACAAAGTGAGCTTCATTGTGACCCAGATATGTTACACTGTCAGCCAACCACAACTGTATTCTGCACACATAGGCAAACTCAGAATTGATGTCAGGGAGACCAAACAGTCCATCACATAGTAAATCTAATCTACCGGAAGTGAGCGTGCCACTGACCCATGGGTGAATTAAGATTATAGCGCAACACAATATAAAACAGTGTACCAAAGTCAGTGAATTTGCATGTAAATTATCATGGTTTTCAGGGTCAAAAGTAATGGTTTGATCTCTCGACAGCTTCGCACAAATACAATCAACTCGACAATTCAAAGGCAGTCAATGTCAGAGAGGAGGCTCAGTGATCCTATAGAGGCTGATCCTATAGAGGCTGTGTCCAGGCTTACTGTTAGTGAACTAGGATATGATTGGCTGGCCAGTTAGCTGATAGGCAGGTATGATTGGTTCAGGTGTACAAACCATCATAAAGGCTCCATTGTCCAGCAGAATAGCTGAAGCTTATAGGAATTTGATATGTGGACTCTGTCGCTGGAGAGAGGGGAAGGAGGGGGCTGAAATCAGGCTCTTTGAAGGCTGACATGTGCAGTTTGTATGATTTGCACAATTTGAAAAAAGGACTTACTTTTAATATCATATAGGAGAAAACAGGCATGTTTTTCTGTTAAAATTGGGACAGTTTTTAAGGGGTTGCACTGGCTTCCAAAAGAAACTGAATTATGTCTTCCTATGGAGCGTTTTCCGGTTAATAATATTACATCTGAAAAGTGAGGGCACATCGGCTGTAAGGTTAAATGGAAAGTATTATACTTCTTCTGTATAATTTTAAAAAGGAGGGGATCTTTCTATTCCTTAAAACATATTACTGAACACTCATATTACAACATATTTCAGCAAAACAATTAATTAAGGTTGAGAACAGTGCATCACAATGAATAAGCTGAATGCAATCACATCAGCATGAGTGCACCACCATACATGACTTGTGTGTCTGATTCTCCCTGATTTTCCCTCACTGGATACCATTGTCCTCCGCACCTGGTACTGGAATCCCAACCATTTTGAGGATGCCAGATAATGGCCAAATGATGACAAATGATGACAGATGTTCTGATATTGTGTTACCAAACATCACTTTTTTCATTTACAAGCCAAGAAGATGTCATTATGGATTTTACCGCAGGATCTGCTTTAGATTTAAACAACATTCAGATAAACACAGTACAGGTGCAGCTGCTTTTCAGAATGGATGTCCTCACATCCAAATGAATAGTTTTCATCAACTTATATAAACAAGTCATTTTAGCAACTTTTAAGGGACAAACGTGCAGTTCTTCTGAAAGTGTAAGTGACTTGTTTTGTTTTGTTTTGTTTTGTTTTGTTTTTTTGACAGGTGCTGTATTCTTTATAATGCGACTGTAAATGGCACATAGTCGGGTTGTGACAGACTGGCTGTCGTCGCTGCGGAGTTAATATCACGTCTCGGTTTTTCCATTCAAACTGGCGCACATTTACAAACCTGTTCGGCAACTTGTCTTACATATCTCGTTATTCCTGAATTGTTCAGCACTTATATAGACAAGAGAGGTATGGTTAGAGTTATTCTGCTTACCTGGGGAGCCGCGGATAGTCCGAAGAGTGGAAAGGGACTCAAACTCCGAGGCGTGGTAGCCTGTTTGTTTTTGTAGTTTTGTTGTGGTTGTTTTTGTTGTTGTTGTTGTTGTTTTGATCACTAAACCGGTTGTTTCACCATAAATCCAAGAGCCTCAAGTTGTCTCCATTTATCCAAAAGAGAGAGCGAGGACGTTTAAAGGAACTGAAGAGCGCATGGGAGCTGCGGCCCTGACGCGCTGAGATGGACAGAGAGAGAGTCAGAGAGAGACAGAGAGAGAGAGAGAGAGAGCGCGGAGGCGGGCGGTGAGAGCTCGGATGGAAATAACAAGTTCATTGCAGAGAGGTGAGGAAGAGCGCAACCCCGCAGCCTCTGATCTGTCTCACTTTCTGCTCCGCGTCTGTCATCAGATCCGCTCACAATGAACGAACAAAGGGATGTTACAGTATTCATTCAGTCATATAGGGACTTATTAGGTGTTTAAAGTTGGTCAAAATTAAGTGCTGTCTTCTCTCATTTCAGTAGAAAGTTTTTATCTTATCGTAGGCTATCTAACCTTCAGCTGCATGATAACATATCAGGCAAATCTTATTTTGAAATATGGAAATATTGTACTTCCCTTCAGTAGCCTATTTCCATTCTATGCTGCTTTACTTCCACTCCACATGGCTACACTTTAAATGGACATATTTTTACTCAATTTATCTGACAGCTATCTGAGGGATAATTGCTTTACAGTTCAAGATTTTACACACAGATGATGAACTTTTTAAAACAGGATGCACTGTTCGAACTAACAAATAGTTAGCTAAGGATAAAATAGAAAAAATTTCACCTGACCCACTGCAACAGTAAATTAATGCATCAGTAATAATAATACTATCTATCTATCTCTAGAATATCTCTGGAGTTTCTGAATTATGAGTATTTTTACTTTTACTTAACTTCAAGTAGCCTATTTTGCTGATAATAGTTACACCCTTTTACTTTAGTGATATCTTATATTCCAGGCTTTTAAATATTATATTTCAATATTAAAGATCTAAATGCTTCCAACATTGACACTGCCATTCTGCATAATGAATGCTTTTAATTTTTATACTTTAAGTAGGCAAGCCTACTTCTACTACTTTTACTCAGGTCAGAATCTGAATGCAGGACCTTCCTTGTAATCTAGTATTTGTTTATGTGGTAAATTTTTACTTAAGAAGCCTAAATGATCTGAATTCTCTTCAGTGGGGGAATCAGATCCCTAACATTTTTATCTGCAAAACCCTGGGATTAGATCAACCTGGATGAAGGCTATAATAGTTTACTCTATCTGAAGAGTAGAGTAGAATTAGGCTATACGGTTTAAAAAACAGAAATTGAACGAAATGAATGAAAGAAAGTGCAACTACCTAAAAAAAGCAATAGGATATGCATAGGCTACTTGAATACATTGCCTTAAAAAGCCTGTTTCTGCAGTGTTTTAGCCAATAAAGTGGGTGTAGTCTACAAGATATTACTAGCCTACACATTTATTAGTCATTCCTCCTGTATCGGTGAGGGCAAGCACAGTAAAGTAACCGGCTGTAAAATAGGCTACAGGTTTATGTTAGCCTACTGTTTGGTCCTCTAGCAAGAACATGCAGCTTGGGGGATAATTTGCATAAAAGTAAAATCAAATGCAAGTGTTTAACTAAACTTTTAAAGACAATTTAACAAAAAAAAGTGAAACAAAAAAAAGTGAAAATTTGAAACAGAAAAATGCCGTATCTTAAAGGAAGTAACTAAATATAAAATAATGGAATGGAGATCGTGTTTTTCTATGTACTGTTGGATGGAGAAGTCTACAATAGCGTTTGAACGGAGCCGAGTCCCCCTTTTAAACACGGAACTAAAGTGACGGTCATGTGATTCCAGTCAGGACTCGATTAGCGACCGCACTGTTTACTTTCCGCTGCAGACAGGACTGCAGAAGAGGAATACCGACCTTCTCTCAAAATGTATTCTCACGGTTCAGAGAGTTTAATCAAACAAGCAAGGTAAGAAAACACGAACGGAGAACTGTATCTGCCACCTTCAGCTCTTCTGCTTCTTTTTCTCTTTCTTCTTCGGTGGTTTACATTCAGTTTGTGCTTCCTCTGCTAAGCTAACCAGGTCCGTGTACGTTTTGATAGTTTGTTTTTTCGTTTGAACCAATAAACCAATAAACGAATAAACAAGAAAACCACCTTTTTTTCGTTTGTCGTTTCAAACCAAAAACGAAGAAACTGAAAAAAAGAGCCGTTCTCCCGTTTTTGGTTTCTAAATCCAAAAACGAAAAACGACTAAACCAAATTCAAATAATGATCCGATTTTGGTTCTATGAAATTCCTGTTTTCATTTTCCGTTTGAAGATAGACGTTAAGAAAAGAAAGACCCGTGAGCCAGGTGAACCGGAAGTAAGAGTATAGATATTAAAATAAAAGCCAAGCTTTTAGAACGGTCGGATCTGTAACTCTATGCAGCACTAACGTTATACCAGGGTGACGTTAGATGAAAATCAAAGTCAAACGAAAAAACAAACTATCAGAACGTACACGGACCTAACAAGGCTAAAACTAGCTTAGCCTGTCAAAGCTGTGTAAACTTAAACTTAGCGTTACTTGTACAGCAGTGTTTTTTATATTGCGATATTGCTAAGTAAAAGATGTAAATGCCTCCCACACCTCTGACACTGATTATAGTGGGTACTTTTACTTTTGATATTTTACTGTACATTTTCTTTCTCATGTCCAAACTTTGGTGGATATGGATCCCTAAAATCTTTACCTGCAAAGTATGGGGATAAGATAAGCCTGGAGTAAAGACTAAACTGTACATCTGGTACAGATATGAACAGAGATTTTCATTATCGCGCCTTCTGTGTTTTTAGTAAAGTATTTTAGTAAAGTATCAAGGTAGTTTATTTATTATTATGCAACACAAGGTTATATAGGGAAAAGAAAGTTTGTAGTCACTTCAGGCTACACACAGAACTTAACAGATAATTTAATGCAGGCCTACATTAAAATATGGTAACATAAAAGAAATAAAACTACATGTAGTTTTATATATATATCTATGATATACACACACATTCCGCAGTGCTTTTTCTTAATTTGTGTCTGGGGTGAATGTCAACAGCAGCCACAAGATGATAAACCGGATATACATACAGCTGTAACAGTATGGTTTTCATCTTCACATAAAAAAAAGGTATAATAATGTAATTTAGATAACAATGAATCAAAATCACATTATTGTCTTCAAATCACAGGAGGTGCAATATTTGTTAAAGGCAAAATGTGTGCCAAAAGTCCATTTGAAGTTAAATACTGTCCTGCTGCCTGGCATACAGATCATATTTTACAGCTTTCAAAAAACATCTTTGTTTGGTACAGATCCTTTCAAAAATCACAACGTAATCATTTAAATATGTTTTTCAAAGAAAATGAGAATAATTTGTTAAAAAATTATAATTCCCCCTAGTATCGCAAATCATATTGCAGTGTCAGTCAAAATAACCTAAATTATTATTTTTTTTCCATTCAGCTCTAATGTAATGTAATAATATAATGTTCTTTACTCTGTATATTGTCAAAAAAGTGTCAGTTACCAAATATGGTGTGGATTGATGTTGATTAAATGACTTCACAGAGACAAAACCAGGTGCACTGTGTGTGTCATTTCTAGGGAGATCCAGGAGTCCGAGCTGCAGAAGTTTTACAGCAGATTAGTCAAGCTGCTCCAAGGGAAGGAGCCCTGCCATGAGACTGTTGACTCCCTGCAGAGGCTGCACCTCATCCTCTCTGCCACCAAGTATACCAGGAAGTAAGAGCTCTAACCTGCATCTCCCATACAGCATCCATAATCCTAATTTCTTTATTCTTTTCAACTTGCTCCGTCATCATCCAGCTCCTCCTCATCCTCCCACTCTATCTCTTTCCTCTAAACCCCCAATTACTGTCTGTGGTGATCTCACCTGCCCTGTCAGGTAGCAAGCTCAAACACAAAGAGCCACACTGCTGAGCTTCACCTTTCCAGTCATCAGTCTTTGTCTGCTGCTCCAAACTCTTTAATTTTCAGTATGAGCTTTCATTCGTAACATTCCTGCCACCGTCTTACGTCTTGTTCTGTTGTCATGGACGAAAGGTTGCCTGCAGAGCTTCAGGAGAGGGTTGTATCGCTCCTCTCATCACCTGCAGAGCCGCTTCAGGTGCTGAGCTCAGCTGTGCTCAGGGAGACACTGCCCCTCTCTGGTCAGGAACTGAACTACAACCAGGAGAACATCAGTCAACTGAACACGCATGCTGCTGCCCTGCTGCTCTCACAGGTGTGCTGTAATGCCTCTTAACTTAAATTGTTTGTGATTCATTTTCTGTCAATTGATTAATCAGCTAGTTACTGTGCCACTACTCTCTACTCAGACCACGTGGTGTGAAAATACATAGAGACACACACTAACCATGGATTCAGCACACAGTAACATATTGACAAACAAATGAGCTTGTTTTGTTTTGAGATCTACACTCATAAACTTAACACTCTCTCCGAAACTATAACCCCAAACAGGCTGGATCCAGGGCTGATCTGTCGTCTCTCTGCGCTCAGCTCCTTCGCAGTCTGGAAAGCCGACAGTCAGAGGGGCCAGCTCACTCGCTCACACACACCCTGCCCATCCTCAACACCATCCTCACACTCAGCCCCGAGTGCCTCACTGAAGGTAACAGATGGTGGCAGATTTAAAGCTGAGCTAAAACAGAATGTTAAAACAGACAGTTCATCAGGAAAGACTACATACACTTAAATCAGGATCCTTTTTCTGCACTTGACTTCTCCACCTGGCTGCAGATCATGTGACCCTCCTGAGTAAGAAGTTTGTCGATTGGCTGCGCTATGCTAGCATCACTCAGGGAGGCTGTGCTTCCTCAGGAGGATTCTTCAAGGGGCCCAGGTCACGTCAGGTGAGCAATCTGCTTTCTTATTTGGCCTGTAAAGCTGAGCGAAGCTTTCAACTGTCACTAATGTAAAGAAGATATCAACATTAGTGTCCAGCTTTACCACTTTACAGTATATTGTTATATTTGTGTGCGTGTGTGTTTTCTCTATCAGCCGGTGCCCATAGCAGAGCTGGATGGGACGGTGTCTGGGGATTTCTTCACTGTGCTGTGTGTGGGCCAGGGCTTCACTGATGACCAGTGGATGAACGTCTATTCCTTTTCAATGCTGCGCCATTGGCTTCTCACCTACCACTCTGTTTCCAACATCAACAGCACAGCTGACACCGGTATGACCTAACCACTCGAGTCACAAAAATGATGACTTTAGACTCGACTTGACAAAATCAAAGAAGACTTGCGACTCG